GGGGACACTGGGACAGTGGGATACAGGGACAGCGGGAGGGACATGGGGACAGTGGGAGGGACATGGGGACAGTGGGGACAGTGGGAGGGACACGGGGATAGTGGGAGGGACATGGGGACGCTGGGGACACTGGGACAGCGGAGGGGACAGAGGGAGGGATGAGGGGACACTGGGACAGCAGGACACGGGGACAGTGGGAGGGACGGGTGACACTGGGGACACTGGGACAGTGGGACAGTGGGAGGGGACAGAGGAACACGGGGACAGCGGGAGGGACATGGGGACAGCGGGACAGGGGGAGGGACGAGGTGACACTGGGGGCGCTGGGGACAGCGGGAGGGACACTGGGACAGCAGGAGGGACACGGGGACAGCGAGGACAACAGGAGGGACACGGGGACAGCAGGAGGGACACAGGGACAGTGGGAGGTGACACGGTGACCCCAGTGTCCCCTCCCCGCCCCGTGTGTCCCCTCCCGCAGAGTCCGAGATCAAAGGTGACATTCTGGTCCTGGGCTATTACCAGTCCGCCTTCGACTGGGAYGACGAGACGGCCAAGGTGCGGGTGGCCTTGGGGACAGCGGTGTCACTGTGTCCCCTGYGGACAGTGATGTCCCTGTATGTCCTTGGGGACAGCCATGTCCCCGYGTCTCCTCACCTCGGGGACAGTGGCAGGTGGAACGGACAGTGATGTCCCCATGTTCCCCTGTTGGGGACAGCGATGGCCCCATGTTCCCCTGCCTCGGGGACAGCTGTGTTCCCATGCCACCTCGCCTGTGTCCCCATGTCCCCACGCCGTCTCTGTCCCCATGCCACCCCCATGCCCCTGTCCCCGTGTCCCCATGCTGTCCCTGTCCCCATGCCATCCCCGTGCCACTCCCTGTCCCTGTCCCCATATTCCCACACTGTCCTTGTGTCCCTACACTGTCCCCATGCTGTCCCCATGTCCCCACACTGTCCCTGTCCCTGTCCCCACGCTGTCTCTGTCCCCATGCTGTCCCCATGTCCCCATTGTCCTCAGTGTCCCCAATGTCTCCATGTCCCTGTGTCATGCCCGTGCCACCCCGTCCCTGTCCCCACGCTGTCCCTGTCCCCGTGTCCCCACGCTGTCCCTGTCCCCACGCTGGCCCTGTCCCCATGGCCCTGTCCCCATGTACCCACGCTGTCCCTGTCCCTGTCCCCATGCCCCTGTCCCTGTCCCCACACTGCCCCTGTCCCCATGGCCCTGTCCCCATGTCCCCACGCTGTCCCTGTCCCTGTCCCCAGGCCAGCAAGCAGCACCAGCTGCGGCGCTACCACAGCCAGAGCTACGTGAACGGCTCCCGCTG